CCAAGCTAGGCGTGTGAGATCCATAGGAAGTGTGGTCTAGGACATCACCCGACGTTTCATAGTTCGTCATCGATTCGGCGTATGCCATCATGTTTTGGTCTAGGCACTATGGAACGCTATGGCGCCTGTGCGTGCCGTTTTGAGTTATGTATACTCTACAGACTTTTTCGTACCACTAAGACAGTAACGAGTACACTGACTTTGCCGGAGATACAGAATAGCTGCAGTTATCGTTTGGCAGTATATTGCTCGCAAGGTGAACGCCAAACACGTCCGCTCCTATTAACGTTCCAACGGTATCCGTTCAGGCCCTTATTATCGGTGTATTTGAAGTGTAACAAGGGATTTCGGAATTAGTGATTGCTTTGAATTAAGTTCACGCGTGTTGCAATTCAGACGCATAGTTAGCATTGCTAACCAGAACGGAAATCTAAACAAACGTCAAATGCGCTTCTCGAGAAGCCATGTACTTCAATGGTGTATAGGCCGACCGGCACAAAGCGACCACAATGTCAAGCCTCATCCAAAACACCTTCACCTGACGCATCCAACCAGGAGCAAACCGGGCGCGCAGGGCAGTAATCATAGAGAGATAGTGGCCCTCCAAAAACATGGCCCCAGTTTCAAATGAAACTGCTTTCGCATTCCGTCGGCGTCGGCCTCATTCACCGGTAATTGTATTTAATTGTCTCTCGTTGCAGTTACTACTGCACTTATCGTGCTTCGGTCGGTCTGCAGCAACGCAAATCCGGTCGATTAGGTTTCGCCAACCTTGTTCTTCAGCATGCAGATTTTCCAATATTTTGTTGTCTGGTGGGGTTTGCTTTCCAACATACCCATGAAAGTGATGTAACTTCATTCACTGTTCACTTTTTTTACCTTTATGCAGATATCTGGTTTTAGTTCTGCAGTTCACTGCACCGAAACATGAATATCACCACTGGTCCAGTTCCCTTCATAGAACATTTCTTGGTATTTTATATGCATCATTGGAGCTAAGGGTATCCGTTCTTTCAGAGATGTGAATATGTGCATGAGCAGAGTGCATTCGTTCGCTAGGGTTACAGGGAGTGTAAGCACCTCGGTCCTTACCTATCATGTTTTCCCGGCTATTAAGTAGTGGAACATGACTTTAAGAACCTGCATAACTATATATATATGCCGGGAGCCACATCGACACGGAATCCACATGACCACTCTGTAGACAGTTTCTACCCGTAGGATAGCCATGAACCTAGACGATATGCAGTCAGTTCACCTGCTCACCGGTTTATCGTTTCATAGATCTCAAGTCCAGATTGAGTGGCCCCTGTTGATTTTAATTTGTCACCCCAATGGTATTCGGTTGGTCACTGATGATCGAATCTGATTTATTCGCGTCACTGAAGTACGAGCTACGTCCTGAATGTTCCAACCATGCTTGTGATGTTCATCCGTTACACTTACCATTACGGCTGAGATCAGCGACTGTCCACAGTTTGGGTACTTTTGGCCACGCGTTGACTGATCGCGTCCAGTCACCGGCCTGTGTGCATTTAACAAGTTTATCATTGAATGGTTATTAACCACCGATTCCACACAAGACAGACTCTGTAAATGCGAGCACTTACTCGGGGTGCAGGTCGCAATTACAGCCCATTGACATGATCAAGGCACTTGCATGTTGCTATGTTAAAACCCCGGACAGTATGCATGTGGACGAAATGTGTGCCTACCCCGCAGCACTCCTGGTTCCTACTAGGATGCCTTCCAGTTGCGGTGGATTCAGGGGTTGTTGACAGAGCCTCAGTTAGTGCAGCTCAAGTCGTCATGGGCGCTCTGTCTGTGCAAACGCCTTGTGGATGCCTGCAATCCTGGTGACGGATAATTATAGTAAGAGGCGCCGCAAACTATGTGCCTACGAAATGTGTTAAGTGTGTCTTCAGTCGATAAGTTCAAATGTGACGACGAAACTCGAAGTGTTCACGGATGCCACGGTTCCTTGAAACTTCCTCCAACCCATGTTCTCGGCTTCGGCACACGATATGTTACCAAGACGATTTGAGGACTACATGTACTTTGCTGCTGAAAAGATTACAATTTGGCCAGAATATGATTACTAAATGTAGTAAACGTAATGTTTGTCATGTCATCCGTCATATGGGCTGAACGTCAATATTTTAGCCCTCCTCGACACTGAATCAAGCGCTACGCTGTCTGACCGTTAACCATTTTCCACCATGGTGGTTACACAGCAGACTATCAGCACGAGAACCATACGAAGCAGTTGGAAGTTATTTCAGAAACACAGTGTGTCAACGAACTCAAAGGGATGGTCTGTTGCCTGGGCGGGACACATTAGCGGGCGGCCATCTTTACTTCCTTAGAATCTACACAACAACGAAGGGAAAACGGGGAACAAATGTGGTTGGAGTACATGTCCTTAATCTGCTCTTCAGCGACTGCTTCTAACAATCCAAGAACATAGCGATCAAACTCATCTGGTGTGCGTCACATTATGAATGCGAAATTTTACTCCTCGGACTTAATAGGAAACTGCCGGCTGTAGCTATCAACTTCAGGTTACGACCTGGGCACTTCACCGCAAACACTCAGATACATGCTGAAAACTATACGATATGACTTTGGGTTGCATGTTGTGGCTAGGAGTTACTACACCCCGTATTAGAGCACTAAGAATTCGGGCGTTTCAGAGCAAACCAGTTTCATTGAGTCGGTTAATGCGTTTAACGACCCACCACCTTACGACTGCTGGTCCGTACTACTGTCAGTTTGGGTGTAGGAAGAATTTAGTCTTTTCACTTTCAATCTCCAAGGCGAACTGTGGACATACCATAGAAAGTTATACCGTTAATTAACACGGAAACTTCGAAGTCCGTTCATCACCATGGGTGGCTGGTAGGTAAAGCTGTCAGCACTGTCAATTAACTATGGTTGAGTATCTTCAACCAGGACTGTACCAACTGCAGGGAACACATGATGACCTAATTGACCTGTAACGATAGTTCGTACTTCGTTAGCACTCCGTTTGAACGCGGTCTTTTTAGTGGACGCAGCCCGACCGCGTTGAGATGTCAACGTTATTGCTAGTCCCATAATAGGCCGCTGTGTGACTAAATGGCTCTGCATTAATGGTGAACGTAAGGCTCTTACCAGGTGTTTTATTCGCTTCCATACGATAATATTCTATATAAAGCCCTTGGTCTGAATATGCCAAACTGCCCGCCTGGGTTCGCGATGTTGGCAACACTACTTATTGAGTACTACGCGACGTGTAAACCAATTTGGCAACAACTACAAAACAGATCAGAGCCCTCAGCAAACGTTTCCCTGTAATGCGGCAGGGACCAATCGCACAATATGCATATGGTAGCCGGACAGTAGTGATCTACTTCACAAGTCATCACCTCATCACATAAATTATTTTCAACTTTCACTCCGGAATCAGTCCTGAGGTAGTCGCAGAATGCCTCCGGACTGAAACGCAACAGTGTTTTACAAAATCGCATCAGCACGACTGGTTAGTTAATGTGACCCAACAGGTAGCACTGAGCGAAGGCGTAGCATAGCGGGGGGGGGGGGGTTCGACCCGCCCCAGAATGCACGTGACGGCAGGTGGTATTGTTAGTACCGTTAATTGTTGGATACCAAATATAAAGGGTAAATTTCTATAGAAGCTGTGGGTTGAATATTTTAACGTTACTCTGTAGGACCAACAACAACTTTGCGCAATGTGTCACACCTGTGCAAATCTTCTTCCCAGCAAATCTCTTACTTTCCCAATTGTAGTCACCTTCACTACATTTACCTGTGTTCCAGACGATCATCCAATTTATCGGAAACGAATGTGCACTTTACCCTGAGCTGATTGTGTGGCCCTCACGCGCCTATTCTGCCTTCAGTCAGGACGAAAATTTTAACACTGCCCCGGGCGGCAAGTTGTTACTACGCCACTACCTTAATTTATCTCGTCTAGTATACTACCAACCGCGTTACCTGATTGCGGGTTGGGTGAATCCGATCACTTGATCCCCTAGTGCGATAGTACCAGAGAGAAAAGCTCTGACGATCTTGAAGTGATGCGGGCTCGTTATCCAGGCAGTCCAGGTTCGGGTGACTGGAAACCTTCGACATGGTGAACCAAAACCATATATGTAACTCTTAATAATCCTACTGAGAAAATCCGTTGTTCGTACAATGGAAACACGTCTGAGTACTGTAATGGGACTGCAAGATCACCATACATAGAGGTCGCTGAGCAGACTGAAATACGTCTTTGGTAGGCAACCCGGCGAGCTTATAAAAAGTAACTATGTAGTCTCGACAAAGCCAAGCATGCCTTTTGGACATGATCATGGGTCGGTGCTAGCTCCACCACTATAGCCACACTGTCTTTAAGGGGTCTGAACTCCCACTGTCTTCGCCGGTAAGTGGATCGGACAGGTTGGTTAAAACCAGACTGCCTGTCCCAATATTAGTATGCCACTTGTAGTTCGCCACTGAGCTGAAATGATTACACTGTCCCCTTCCATGTCGCCGAGAGTAGAATGTTGTGTCACAACAGCTCATGTATGAGAATACGCACTAAGCGCATCCGCTGCTAGAGAGTACGCTCTCACCTAATTTCTTCTCCCATTCGAGTCAGCTCGACGCACCCTCCTGGTGAGAACTGCGATGCAAGGTCAACTTGGCTTCATAAACGGAAATATGAGCCAATCAGCATTGAGCTCGCCCCCTTCTCATAGTGGCTTTTCTTCTCTTTTCATCCCCCCCCCCCATGGGTAAACTATTCTCCTTGTAAGTTGACATTACATCAGTCAGACAAAACATATGGCCAGGCAATCAATCGGGCAGCCAAGTGACTTCAGGCGTCCTGACTTTCCGGTCACTCAGATCTGCGTGGGCAAGTGAAACGTTTCGGGTAGGCTAATGGGATTGAGTTGGATTCATCATTGAGACAGTTTTCCAGTCTTAGCATGGAACTGAGACGTTAGCCTCCAATGTCGATCAGCTCAGCGAATGCAAAAGGTGAGAAAGCAGGATGCCGAATGGCAGTTGCCCTTCCACTGAAAAATGAATCGGGGACACGCGCAAGTGAGTCCTCTGGAGTTTTTCTCCTGGCGAATGAGATCCCTTGTCTAAACCGCGACTCTTATCATTGTGAACAATAGTTTTCTGTTACTTTGTGGGTAGTTTTCAGCCTCAGTTTACTGATCGCATGTCAACTACGCGTTGATAACATTTCTTATAAGACGCTGTCGGGATCACTGTTACTATTCTTAAATAAACAAATGTTTTATTTCTCGACAATGGGAATGTTCCCGTATAAGGACAAATCAACAGGTACATAGTTTTCACAAACGAAGTCATCCAACATAGGATTGGAGAGAATTCCCTCCAGCATGCGAAGCTGGTATGTCTAGAGGGAATTGGGTAGGTTATATCATTATTGAAATATATGGTAAGCTCATACCAGCATCACGCTTTCATTGTGCTGAGTGGTGAAAGTAATTCAGTGTGCATGCAGGGAGGTGCTGAGGGATAGGTTCCTTGTATTCAAGTGAAGGCGCCTATAGGTCTGTTTTCATCAAGTGCTCATTCGTCCTCAGTCTCGTCGATAAATATACGCATATACCAATGTGGGCTTCTGTCACAATTTTCCACAAGACAATGCTTGACGATATACTTGTTTCATCCTGCACAAATCGAAGCAACTTGCTTTCGCATGCAGTTACATAATGTGCTAAACAGCCATTAGGTTCCTATCTGATGTCGACACTGTTTTCGAATTCCTTTTCCCTAGGCTAAGATATCCGTAACATGGATAGGATATTTTACACAATTTTCCGCAACAGACATTTTAAACCCATGTAGATTACCGTACTTCTCGGTGTTGTGGAGCGATTTTCTCCTACGCTTGGAGTATTCAATGTGAAAGAAGTTTCTTCTAATTTATGTTTTTGTCCTGGAAATTATAATTTTGCCGCGTCACATCGCCTATTGGATCTCCGCTATACTACCTGATGCACAGATTTACCCCCGCGGTGTGAGTAAAGTTGTTATTCTAAACAAAAATACAAGGGTTCACTATCATTCTTCGCAACTATATGATCTTCTGTCCAAGCAAAGCACAGCGCTCCCTGTAAGTCAGTTTTGTGGAGTATCTAATTATTCCTTCTGTTAATCGGTGTTAAAAGCGCCAAACAGCCATTCTGTCAGACTTTCGCATGCTTGTGCACACCATCGAGCAAGATAAAATGCTTGGCAGTGCGTCTGATGCTGAAATAACTCAGAAGTATGCCGTTGGTTGTATCAATACTTTGACTGAGGCACATTGATTAGTCACCTGTACTCACAGAGGGTGAAAATGTAAAGGAAACGCTTGACTCTCACTTCATCCTCCTATGTCTTGGTGTCGGCTGCTTCACCGAGCGTTCTCATACCGCATAGAGTTATTCTTAAAACAATGGAATTATAGATTACACAAGGTAGATGTACATTCGATGAGTGGAGTGCTTCCTCCTCATCTCACGCACAAGTAGCAAGAACTAGTTGCCGAGATGGAGACTTTTCTTGTGCTCTTTCGATACCAATAATTGAGACAATAATTACACTGTTCAACAAAAAATTATCTTCTATAACAAAAATCCCAATGTCTACTTTGTGGAGTACACTCCACTGGTCATAGAAATGTATTCCCAGGTTATCTAGCACGTCACGTTGCATTGCTATTAGCTATTTATTATATTCAGTAATGTGCAGTCTAGATCGTCCGAATTTTTTGTACATATACTGTCACGACGTATACACGATGTATGTGGATGGTAAATACCTTTAAAACATCACTGTAACACGCCCCTAACTACTGACTGCAGCATGGCACCGGAAACTGACAACTTCGCTGAGATCGTCGCTTGTATTATACACCACACTTCCGCTGCAGAAACCAGCAAAAGTCACCCATCAGAGAAGGCGTGTACTTGCCACTGCAGCGCTGCTCCATGACTGAAATATCTTGGTGAAAGCAATCACCGTGTTCATTACTAACAGATCCCAAGTTCTCATGGAACAACGATATATTACCGGCAAAAATGTGCCTGGCCAGAAAGAGAACCACAACATGGTGAATAGAAAAAGGTGACAAAATGAAAATCGTTTTTGTGGACTCACCACGGTGTTAAAGCCGGGGCATACAGTAAGGGGCAAGCTCATTCGTGTAGGTTAATTCTGGTTGTGCAACTTTCGTCGCAGTATATCGTCTGTCGAGACACAGTCTTTAGCTCGTTATGTAGGTGGGTTAGAGGAGTTTTTAAACAGTTAAAATGGGGACAGAAACACGTAATTTGGGAGGGCGTTTCATGGCTGACACATGTCGACATTCTAGCCGGCCGTATTGCGCGGCTAACTTGAACTGATGGCCCCTCAAATTCGTGTGGTCCAGTTGTAGTAGGTGGCGGCGGACGTGGTTGGGACTCCTTAGCATCTGGTAGGCCAAAATAAGATCGTCACACAGGCGCCGGTACCGGCCGCCGTATAATTTTAGGGTCCTCAGTTCAAGTTGATAAGGGAGATTGAACAATTCTATGACGTGTCTCGTGACTCGTCGTTGTGGAGTCTCGGGCGCTGTAAGATCTTGCTTGTGCCAGAGCTGCCATACATGGGTTGCGTATTCACCACGTGGCCGCATGTAGGTGATAAGCAACTTCGAACAGACAGACGGGTCAGACCACCCAAATGCCCTCCGCAGCATGCCAAGGTGTTGGTTCCCAGTATTTGACGTCTTTTCGGAGTGTTTTATGCATCCCAGATCAGCCTGGACTAGTACCCGAATGTCATCCTCCTGGGTGACTGCTTGCAGGACGTGGTCTCCAAGCTTGTATGTGATGTTCGGCTGGTGGCTAACGTGAACCACTTTACACTTCCGTGAATTGTACTGGAATTGGAGTGAACTGGAGTGGGGGAGTGACCACCCATACACTCTGTCCAGGTCTCGCTGAAGTGTATCGTGATCCCCTCGGTCGGCGATCATCCGCCACATCTATACATCATCAGTGAACAGCAAGAAATCTGAGGCAATCAAGAGCCTAAACTCGTTAAAATACACGAGAGAAGCGGCCCCAGAACTCATCCTTGCGGAACTCCACATTCGACATAAATCGGATCGGACACCACACTTTGAAGTCTGATCTTCAATTGCAGATCCTGCATGAAAATCCTCATCCACCCAACGACAGGATAACCAACTCCATAGCTTCTGAGCCTGTGAAGCAGAATGTAGTCAGTCGTAGGTCTTGGAGAAGTCGATGTAAATGACGTCTGTTTCTCTGTCTTCATCGGCCGCTTCCTTCCAACTACTGCGTGCAAGCAGTAGGTGGGTAGTGCATGAACGGTACTGGCGCAAACCGTGTTGCTCGGATGTTTTGATGTTGTGCCGTTGTAGATGTTCTACTAAAGCCTCAGCGGTGATTACCTCCATCACCTTCGAGAGCACAGGGAAGATGACCCCTAGGCGATAGTTGGCTGGGTCCGAGCGATTACCGCTTTTAAAAATTGCACTGAGGAAGCCATATTTCCACGTGGTAGGCACAATTTGTTAAGCCAAGCACGTTTGAAAGAAATGCGCTAATAGCCCGGCCAGCGTTGTTGCTGCTACTTTCAGCGCTCTCGGGTGAATATAATCAGTGCTGGGAGAGCTGTGGATGTGTTGTGAGAGCAGTTTCTTCAACACAGCTGTGGCACTAAAATTGATGTTAGTGAGTGTTGAAGTTGGGGCTAGGGACATGGGTATGTAACACTGGCGGACGTCTTTTTGGAAGGTTGGGGCACACTGCATTCGTAGGGCGTTGACTGCCTATTCGGCACTCCGTGCCACTCCGGCTGGCTTGGTAAGTGGGGGGATACCGAGCCTCACTTTCCTGATAGTGTTAAAGTGCCTGTATAGGTGCTTTTTGTTATTGGCAAATCTACAGGCCAAATGTTGTTGGTGAGTCAATTCGTCCTGACGGACAAGCGTGTTACAATGTTTGCGCTGGGTCACATAATCGCTCCAGATTTCGGGACTAGGACGAGCTCTGTAAGTGCCAAGCTGTATTCCTTATTAACATGCGTTTGCGGGTTCTAGTTCTGAGGAAAATGAGGGATTGGGGGAGCGAATCCTCTTCTTTTCTGAAGCAGTTGCAAATAGATTGCTGAAGCGTCCAACGAACTGAATCCAGGCGCTGTCAGGTAAGCTAACTTTCAAGAATCCCTAATCTCTCGTCTCAATTAGGTTGTTCAGGACGTTGTAATATGTGGTATTACGTGTTAGTTCTGTGTGTTCCTCCGGATATTCAGCGTAAGTATAGTGACATAATCGCTTATCCCTAGTCAAGGTGATTATGTAGAAATGGAATCTTGAGTAACATTCAAGCACCAAGAGCCTGATAGTCTGCAATGAGCTTTTTAATAACGTCTTTGAAGTTATCTGCTTTTGTTCTACCCAGAAATCCTGTACACACTGCTTTGAATGATCTCCGTACTTCTAACGCAAAGGAAGTCAGCTGGCCTTCGATAGCACTGTCTGCCATTATCCGACGAATAACAGGCTCATCACCGATGTTCGAAAACATTGGTTTCAGATACTGAAACGAAAAATTATCATCCTTAAAGGCTTTGTCCGAGTTTTTAATTAAACCAAGCCTGATGTGCAGGGGTGGTAGATAGATATGATCAGATTGCGCAAGACGTGTATGCTTTACACTCATTTTCAATACAGTATACTCCGTCCTCTCTGACCTTGTTTTCTGTCGTGTAGTCCTGTTGAGTTGCCCTGCTGTTCCATAGGCATAAGAAAAAGCAATATTTTGTGAAACTTCATTGCATACCCGGTAGGAGTCGAATGACTGCAGTTAGCACAGATATTTCATTGGCACTTATCGTAGTTGAGTGCAGCGCGTAGCTCTTACATACTTTCCGAAGTCTCCTTCATATTAGTGGCATGCAACCGTTGGGTTCACATTTGCATTGTGTAGCGGAATGGCTTTAAGGTTACCCTTTGAAAAGTCGATGAACAAGCTGTTGTAACGCTTCTACTTTACCTCTGCTCCCTGTCCAAA